TTTTCAAATAAAAACAGGGGCTACACCCCACATTTTTTTAACAGCCAAACCCCACTCTTCTCTTCTTCTCATTGAATAAAATTAGGGTGTTTTGTACTCTTGTATTTTTTATCAGTTTTTTTTTCAAATAATTTTTTTACATCATTAATATATGGCTGAACTAAAAGTCTGAAACTTGATTGTATGGCTGAATTGAAAATCTAAGATTTGATTATATGGCTGAAATTTTTTCATTCAATTTCTATTTGTATATTGCATTTGCTGATTTGCATTACTGCCTGCCTACTTGGGAAATATATAAATAACTGAACTACCGAATGAAATTTGATTATATCATATAGCTGAAATGTGCTTGCTTGAAATTTTTATTTATCTATTTCTAACTGAATTATTGATTAGATTAACTGATTTCTGATTTAACATTTATTTACTTGTTTTTGTGTGCTTATCAAAAAAATTATTATTTGTTTTTATTAATTTATTAATTATTGTCATTGCTGATTTTCCCTTGGTCTTGGTTTTTTTCTCTTGTTCATATTTCTCATTATTTAATTTAGGAATAAAATAGATTAATTATTTTCTAGTTTAACATTTTTGTTTGTTTTCTAATTTGTTTTATTTGCTGATTGGGTTTTTTTACAAAAAAAATAGAGAATGACAACTGAAGAGGGAAGTGGCAGTGTTAGGCATAAGGCTCAATCAAAGGACCCTGCAGCTAACATACATTTTGGCATGACTTGGAAGACAAAAATGCAATTTCATGCTCATTATGTGGTAAAGTTGTTAAAGGAGGAATAAAAAGGATACAACAACATTTGATTGGGGGTATGGGGATGTTACTAAATGTCCCAAAACTACTGCAAGTATTGCCAAGGAGATGCAAGAATACATGCAGAAGAATAAGAGGAAGAAATCATTGGATGATTTTACCATTGAAGATAATCGTGGGGCATGGGAGTAGATTGTATCTAAAAGGGGTTCCAACAATCAAAGTAATCAACCCATAGAAGTAGGTGTCTCCATTTCAAGTGGTAGGAACACTCCAACTTCAAATTCCCCCTTTCCACCAAAAAAGAAGGAAAATGTTAGAGGACCTAATGGACAGTTTTGTGAGACCAAGTTCAGAAGAAGTTGTTGAAGCGAGGCATAAAGGACAATTGGTTCAAACAAGCATTGAAAGTCGTCTGAAGAAGGAAGAAAGGAAAGAAGTAAATGAATATGTAGCAAAGTGGTTCTATCAAGCCGGGGTTCCTTTCAATACGGTGAAATTGAAGAGTTCTGAAGTTATGGTTGAAGCAAATGCACAGTTCGGGTCCAAATACAAGCCTCCAAGTTACCATGAGTTACGAGAACCACTCTTGAAAGGGGAGGTTGAGAAAACAAAGCAAATGTACAAAGAGTATGAGGCTTCTTGGAAGACTTATGGTTGTACCATCATGTCTGATGGATGGACTGATAAAAGGCAAAGATCATTAATCAATTTTTTGGTGAATTCTCCTAAAGGGACTATTTTTTATAAAATTCGTTGATACATCAAATGAAGTCCATAATACAACTTTTCTGTTTGAGTTGATTGATAAAGTTGTTGAGGAAATGGGGGAGGAACATGTGGTGCAAGTGGTTACTAATAACCACTCTGCTTATGTTGCTGTCGGTGATCTTTTAAGATTGAAGAGGAAGAATTTATTTTGGACTCCTTGTGCTGCTCATTGTTTAGACCTTATGTTGGAAGACATTGGAGAATTGAGGTCTACAAAAAGTTGTATTGCCAGGGCAAGACAAGTAACTGCTTTTATTTATAGACATCCTCTTTCTTCTTGCACGCATGAGGGAAAAAACAAATGAAAGAGATCTTGTGCGATGAGCAATTACAAGGTTTGCCACATCTTTTCTAACTTTACAAAGTTTGTATACTTTCAAAGAGCCCTTGCGTGCTTTATTTGTTGGTGATGTGTGGAACAAGAATAAATGGGCTAAAAAATCAGATAGACTAAGAGCATCAAGCACTATGCTTTCTATTGGGTTTTGGAAAAAATTAAGAGTTGCTCTTTTGGCTACCCAACCCATTGTGGAGGATTTACGATTAGTTGATGGTGATGAGAAACCCCGCAATGGGTTCTTTTTACTATGCAATGGAGCGAGCAAGAGAGAAAATAAATGAAATTTTTAGTGGGAAGGAGAGGGAGTATAAGCCCATTTTAAACATTTTTGATAGGCATTCGACTAATATGGTGCAACATCCATTACACCTTATTGGTTTTTTTCTCAATCCATCCCTTTATTATAAGGCTAAAGCACAAGATGAAGCATCGGTTAGAAAGTTTGAAATGGGCTTTCTAGATTGCATTGAGAGAATGGTCAGTGATATTAAAATTCAAGACAAGATCTCTTATCAATTGGAAGAGTATAAGCATTCCCGTGATGCTTTCTCTAAAGAATTGGCAATTAGGCAACGTGAAATGAAACAACCAAGTAATATAAGCTTTCTTTTCTTGAAACTTATATTTATACTTTACTCTTGCTATTTTAAATTTATATTGTCTTAATTCATTTTATTCTATTTTGTAATTGATCGGTGGCATAATTATGGACATTGCACCCTAGACCTTAGGCGTATTGCATTACGCATATTAGGTCTTACATGCACTTCTTCTGCTTGTGAGCGCAACTAGAGTACTTTTGAGCATGTAAGTTCTAATTAATGGTTGGTTTTGTGATAAAATTATTTATGAAAGTTAAAAATACTTATTTTTATATTTTTTCTTATTTTGTTGTGAATGTACATTCATACAAAAAAGAGGAATAGGGTTGATCAAAAGAGGCTCAATGATTTTGTATGTGTTCAATACAATCAACGCCTCCAAGAAAGATTTACAACAAGGCATGCAAATCCAAAGCAGTTTGACCCTATTTGTTTTGATGGTGTAGATGAAAACTAATGAATGATTGATTGGGAAAGACCCCTCAAATGACTCCGTCTATGAAGGGTGTGATCTTACATGGACTCAAGTTGATAAAGCATTAGGGGCATATGAAATCCTTGAAGGGTCAAATAGGTCAAGGAGAAGAGGACATAGACGTGGAAATGCAAGTGGGGGTGCAAGTACAGGTACAGGTGGTGGTCGTGGGAAAGATGATTCTGGAAGACAAGATAAAGGCAAAAATGTAGTTCAAGAAGAAGAAGAAGACTCGACGTGGGACAAAGATATGGAAGATAATGAAGATGATGAAGAAGATATTGATGTTGAAGATGATCATGATGATGACAATGACAGTGATGATGACGAGGATGAAGATGCAGCGGTAATGATGTTGGTACATTCAATGGAGGTGTTGGTGGTTCTTACTTCTTAGACACTCCAATTAATTAGGGAATAAAGAGTTTTCTTTAAAGATTGTCTATGGTACATTTAAAGCTTTAAACTTCAGATTTATGTTTTTGTGGACTTGTGGAGATGAATGCTGATATATACTTCTTCATTATATATGCTTTTTTATTTTTTAATGGTTTCATTACTTTCAAATTTCATCTTATTATTTCTTAATTGGCTACTTCCTAGTTCGTACATAAACTACCAAGCATCAACCAAGGTATGTATTTTAATCCTTAAAGGATTGATATTGAATTCTTATGAAATTTTTTATTTTTGTTGTAGTGCTTCTTCCATTTGTTAATGGAAAAGTTGATTTCTTATTGATTGATTAATTCTTTTAATTTGTTTTCTTGTTGAAGGCAAAGTTGCAGAAAAAAAGATATTCAAGGTCAACATTCAATCACTCAAAAGGAATAGTTTTATGAAACTAAATTAATAAATTATTAGTTTTTTTAGTGTTGCCATGTTAGACTTGTTACTCTCACTTCACTTGCTTGGTTGCTTTGTTTTTTTTATCAGCCACTTGTCTGATTGCTTATTTCTTTTAATTCAAATGTTCATTTTTTATGTTTTCACATGAAAATTACACTTATATGAAAGATTTTATTGATTATGCTTAGTGCAATGTGTAGCTGGTAAGCAAATATAACTTATAAAATAGTTTAGGTCCTTTAGTAAGTGTAGAAATCTATAAATTTTATATTTATAGATCCCACCGCCTAGTCACCTGGCACCCTATGGTCGCCTAGTCACCTTGACAACTATGTGCTTACCACCTACTTATATCTTGTCCTTTGGCTTGTATTTCGAATTGGTTTGCTACCCTTTTTAGGTGTAAATTGTTTGATACTTACTAGGTCAGGTGTCTAGCAGATGGTTTGCCAAAGCAAGGAATTGATAGACAACAATTTTTTTAGGCTATGTTGTGCAATGCAAGGGTTGGGTGGGATAGCAAAAGCTATTTGATTGTTGATTGTAATAACAACTCCTTGTTGTATCTTCTTTTCTTCTGATTAATGAATGAATATCTCTTCTTGTTGCTGATCAAAAAAAAAAAAAGGAAATCACCCAACTAGCACAATCTATTTTTCAGAAGTTCTTATAAAGTGACGTTCTTGCTTCCTCAATAATCTCTTTGATTATTTAAGAGAAGTCAATGAGAATGAGAAAAGAATAGAAAGAAGAGAATAGAAGAGATGCCAATGAGAATGAGAAAGAATTATTATCATGAGGCTTATGGTGCCCCATTCTATTTTATTATATTAGGGAGATAACATATAAAATGACAAATATGCCCCTGAACACGTTTACATTTTACAACAAGTATCATATCACATACAAGAATATTTCAGAGAAAGGCCAGTTATCTTCTTTTTAATTGGCAATAGGTTTCCTAAATCAAATTCACATTCAAGCCAAGCTTGAGGCCAATAAAACTCATCCATGAAGCTCGCAAGCTTAATCAAACTTGTATTATATATAATATTTTTTAATTTTTATATGTATAATAAGAAATAATTTTTATATTACAATTTATAATATATAACCTTTTATATGTATAATTATTAATTCTTTACATGTATAATTTTTATTTTTATTTGAAGCTTGGCTCACTATTGAGTTTGAGCAGAGCCAAGCTTAAACATGAGCTTTGGAGTCGAGCCGAACTCGAGTTCATCTTTCTAGCTCAAATTGAGCTCAAGTCCAAACTCGGGCTTCATGTTTTTTCTATCGAGTCAAGCCAAATATCTAGATCCAACCCTATCCACAAGCTTTAATTAACAAAAATAATTTTGAACCTTTTTAAATTAAATAATTTTTAAGGATATAAACTTTTTACCTTGTATTGGGCTTCTCTGTAATTTTTTGTATCCTTTGTTATGTTCATTAACTAAAGGGTTAAAGGGTTGATGGTTTCCTCCATCTCCCCTCCTTAGAGGGGAGGTAGCATCTCGTGCCTCTCCCTAAATTGTACTATCTTTGGCTATGATTTAATAAATCCTACAATTCACTGATCAAAAAAAACAAGGATATAAACTTTTTATCAATATTCAAACATATAAACTTTATAAATTCATCTATACATTTTATTGTTAGAGAACCAGACTGTGCATCAACCCAAAAAGGGAGAGAGGTTCACCTGAGGTCAACCCAAATAAAACAAAGGCCCCAAACCACAAGCCTTCTCATCCAAACAAGTGGCAACGTACTCTTTCAAGAAAGTACTAGCGGGGACTAAAAATTATGCCAAGGTTCAAATAGGTTTCAACGAGGAAGAGGGATTTCTTCCAGTCTACAGATCTATGGGCAAAAACCTACAATTGAATGATTGAGAAGACAGAATTTTAGGATCTGCTTATAACACTGAAAATAGTGGTGGAGGAAGGTGGAGGTAAGTAGATGGAGGACGAGAGAAGGTTCAGAGTAGTAGGAAGGTAGAGGTCTGAGGTGTCGATCGAAGCCAAGACTTTCAAGTTCGAAGAGGAAAGGATCAAAGGTGAGGATGCAATGAAAATCAGGGAGAATAACAGGGCGACTGTGTTGGTGTCAAAGGAGGTCATTGTCTGGACGAAAGGTTTCATAGATGGGGCTATCAACTCTGGTAAGGTGAATGGCTGGAAAAACTCAATGTCAGTTCTAGGTAAGAAATATGTAACAGAATTGAAAAGAAACAGAAAGGGATGGTTTATCTCTGTGGTGGAGTTTTTTGGAACAAATGGAAAGCAAATGCTATGTGTGYCGGAAGGGAGATTACGGAAAGGGTGGATGGATTTTGTGAAGGTGCTACAGTCTTTCCTTGTAGCCTTGGAAGTTAAGAGAGTGGATGGGGTGAAGAGAACTGGTCAAAAATCCAAAGACCRGGGTCAAAAGGTTCTGGAGGGGGCAGTTTCGATTAGTTCCTCTGGCAGTGTAGAAGTGCAAGGCCTTCCGACTGAAATGGTGTTTGCTTGCGCTTCTATTCATCGTAGATTATTGGTAGGAGCAGGGAAGGAYGAGTGGAAGAAAAGAAGGGTGCTAGTGGCTGATAAAGGAGTGACAGATTGGAGGAGGGTTCTGAGTACAGTTGCAGGGGAGATAGGTATTGGGAGTGAAGCTATGCTGTTCCCTTTTGCAGAGACGAAAGCCATGCTTGATGTAGGCGACCAGGAACTAAGTTTTAAAGCAGTTGTGGTGGATGGAGGGCTGATACAGGTTCAGAACTGGAGCCCAATCTACAATGAAGTCAAAGTCCAAGATGGGTGTGTCCGGCTGAAGCTTGTAGGCCTTCCATTTCACCTCTGGCAAGACTCTGTTCTTGAGCACATTGTGCAAAGTCTGGGAGGCATCTTGGTGAAAGCTGATAAACGAAATCTGGGTGCCGTGGAGTTACAGGTAGCTGGTGTAAGGCATGAGAACCTGCCGAGGTTCTTTGAAATCTGCTCGGATGAAACCTGGTACAAGGTGTGGGTGGCTTCTGAAGTTGAACGGTCGTTGTGAAAAGGTGCTCCTAAGGTAGAAGATGATGAGCTGGCTGGGTGGTGGACACGTGAAGGGNGCTCCTAAGGTAGAAGATGATGAGCTGGCTGGGTGGTGGACACGTGAAGGGTAGAGGTTGGGAGATGAAAAGGTGGAGCAGATGAAAGATATTTTTGGGGTTACAGAGTCGGTTGGGGAAAACCAAACGACAAACAACCTAATTAAGGAAACTAATTCAAATGGGTTTGAATTAAACAAATTAATGGCAGGCTCTTCTTCTTATGCTGATGTGGCGAAGAGGCAGGATGGGTTGGGGAGCCGAAAGGTTTGGTCCGAGCCGTTGAAGGTGGCGGGTGGGTCAGGCGGGGTGAATGTTGAGTCGGGACAGCATTGGAAGGACCCACGTGACAACTAAAAAGGTCACGCGGGCGGGGGCGGGTGAGTGTAACACCGAAAGGAGGCTCCACTTGAAGGACCCACATGATAACTTAAAATGTCACGTGGGTCGGGGTATGGGGACTCTTCTTGGGTCGCTGATAGACGATGTTAATGGTCTATCATCGTCCCAAGTGGCGAGAAAGGAGGGGGAATGCGCACAGCGGCGGAAAATGGAGAACAAGCGGGATTTGCAGTGGGTTTCCCGACGAAGTCTGGAGGAGCTTAGCCCCCTGCGACGCTCCTCAAAGAGGGCGAATCCAAGATACGCTAGGGAAAGAACTGAAGAGAGGGAAGAGAAGGATGAAGGTTGGCTGCAGTGCAGTGAAGGAGATGAAGAATCGGAGGACTTTTCTGTTGATGGTACTAGCGTGGGCAATGTAATCGACGAAGGTAGTTGTGTTGGAGGTGACATGGATGGGTGGAATATTGCAAGCTTATTTCAAGGTGAAGATTGCAATCGGTTTAACTCTTTCCCAAGACTATAGAGTGTGCAAGGATTATCAGAAGGGGCAAACCGGGAGAACCGGAAGCAGAGCAGGAACACACCATCTAGGGGTGAACCAGGGGTAGAGTGGAAAGATCACCAGGATGACACCAAAGGATAGAAGTACTTCCCAACCAACTCAGGGAGATAGATGGTTACCAACCTCTGGAACAAGAGAGGGAGGCCGGGAGCAGTCCTTTTCTAGCTTGTCCATCAATCCCAGGTAACCAAGTGATTTCAGTTTGTGCTACTAATGTGTCTCCTGTCTTTGGTTCCAAATTCCGTTTCTGTTCCATGTCTTGTAGCCCATGAATATGCAGCCGAGCTAGTAGGCGGGCTCTCCGAGGAGGGGGAGAGGGGAAGGAAGGAAAGTGGAAAGGTGTGGGAAGGAAGGTATAGGAGTGAAAAAGTGTGGGAAATCATTGAAAGAGTGTTTAAAGAAGTGGAAGGAAAGTTAATCTAGAGGAGGGAAGGGGAGGAAGGAAGAGGAGAGGGGTTATTGGAGAGGAGGGAAAGGAATGAGGGTAGAGATGGAGAGGATTACGGGGAGAGAATAGGGAAGGAGGGAGGTAACAGGAGAGGGAGGATGGATGGAGAGGAAAGAACAGAGGTAGGACCAGAGGAGAGGAAGAAAGGGTAGGTGGACAGAGATGGAGGGGATTCTGTAGGAAGGGTAGGGGTGGAGGACTCGGTGTGAGAAAACATGATAGCAGAATTTGTAGGGAAGTTGGGTTGTAGGTTGGAAGATTTGAACGTGTTGAAAGAAAGCTTACAGAACAGGAAGAAGGAGATCAGAACAAAGAAGAGGAGATTGAGTGAAGTAGAGAGATTGAAGAGAGATGTAGAAGGAGACAAGAAGTTAGGGGTAAAAGGAGATAGAAGGAAAGGGGGAAAGTAGTGGGTAGGTGGCAAGGGGTTTAAAAAAGAAGCGGAATGAAGATTCTTAGTTGGAATGTGAGGGGAATTGGGAGTGCAAGGAAGAGAGCGACAATAAAAGAGGTAATAAGACGGTATGACCCAGACATTGTGTTGTTGCAAGAGTCTAAGAGAATGGAGTTTAATAACAAATGGGCAAGGAGTGTATGGAAAGCTAGGGGGATTAGCTGGGTGGCTACTCCCTCGTGGGGTGCTTCCGGGGGAATTGTAACAATGTGGAAGAGGGATGTGATTGAAGGTTTGTAACAAGGGAGGTTTCAGCAACAGTCAGAAACTTCAGGGGAGGTTTCAGCAATTTACCCAAAAAGAAATGATCACCCAGTTTTGGCCTCCAGAAGTGAAAGAATGGAAGAAAACTGGTTGGTTTTCTGAAACCGGGGCCAGTTCACTGATTTTTCAGTTGGACTGTCTGAGTCAACAGTTTTGGCTAGTTTTTAACACATTCCAGTTTTGGGGGTATGACTAAACAGGCCAGGGGCCCAGACCATGGTACAAACAGTTTGACTAGCCAATCTGGTCCAGTTTCAACAGCTTCAATACCAATAGTACAATTCAAGTGCAATAAAGAGAAAAGTAACAATATATGGAAGTATTGTATATAGCTTGCTAACATTACCAATGAACCCCTAAGGATGTGGCTAGCCTATTTAACTCCAGTTTCTCAAGGCAACAGAAGAAAAGGGGAAGACCTCTATGGAAAATCACAAGAGCAGCCTTGGTATGGACCATTTGGGAGGAGAGAAACCAAAGAATCTTCCAAGAAAAGAGTAGGTCAATGGAGAAAGTGATTGAATCCATAAGGATCAGATCTGCACATTGGGCTAAAACTTTGGAGCTGTTTAGAGATGTTTCCACAAATGACTTATTATGGAAATGGTCTGAAGTGGTACAAACAGATACACAAAGAAGTAGTGATAATGGAATGGAAACCTCCAAGGCCAAACAAATTGAAATTAAACTTTGATGGGAGCTCCCTTGGTAATCCGGGAGGGCGGGTATAGGGGGAGTTTTCAGGAACCATCTAGGTGCAGTTGGGGCTTTATTCTCTGGGCCAATTGGATTTGGTGACTCGGTTAAGGCTGAGACAATGGCTCTCTTACAAGGACTAAAACTGGCAACACATATGGGTGTTAGAGAGCTTGAAGTAGAAGGAGATTCCTTATTGGTTATTTCTTGGGCAAAACAAACTAGTTCAGCTCCTTGGAAATATAAATTTGCTTTCAGGAAAATTGACCACCTTGCAAAAAGGCACGCACCTTGCCTTGAGCCTTGTGACTCAGGCGCAAATTGGCCATTGTGCTTTTAAAACACTGACTGAGAGAGAGAGAGAGAGAGAGAGAGAGGCAGATACAGTGATTTTCATTAGTGTGTTGGGAGGTGCAAAATCTAGAGGAGAATATCCTGTTTGATCAACTTTTGGATGCAAGAGATGGTGAAGAAGATCAATGCCACATTAGAAACCAAAGAACCAACACTACCACTACCATTCCAGTGATGTCAGATTGGTTGGCACCTTTTTTATTATCTCTTCACTGCACAGGATGCTTTTACATCGTCTTTGCACTGGGTTGTGGCACTTTTGGACTTGCACCCAAAAGTGGTAGCGTTCGGAAAGAGGTTTTAGAATTTTGTCATTTAAGCTTGATAAATTAGTAAAAGAAATAAGGTCAAAATTGTCATTTTACAAATCTATTTGATGAAATGAGTAATAAGTAATGCAGTTGGGAAGTATAGGGGGTATCTTAGTAAATGACCCTAAAATAAAAATTCAAGTCAAGAAAATACAGTAAGTTTCCTGAAAACTACAAATTCTAGAAGTGGCATTTTGGATTCTCTATGACTCTATGCAAAAAGTAGAAGACTGAGACTAACATGGAATTAATTTGGGTGTATAATCAGAAGCTTACATGGAAGTTTGGCAAACAGATACTATAAGAATTTGATAGAAAAAAGTTAACCATATTTGACTGGCACATAATAGAAAACATTAGGTTGAAAGATTATTCATCATGGCAACAGCATAAAAACAAAACACATACAGCCAAGAAACCACAGACATTTAGTGTGCAAGAGAGAGAGAGAAGAAATCAGGTTCCTCAGAATTATCTTGGACTATTTCAAGTAAGAAAAACTTACCCCCTACTATGTCTAAAGATGCAACTTTTGCTTCATGCCCAGATAATGTCTTGATAGGCTTGAAATCTCGGCCTGACCACACCTGATCAGACAGAACTGGCCATGGTGAGATGAAATTATATAGAAATGACTAATGAAATGAAAAAAGTTTTGAATTCTTCAATAGGAGAAAAATATGGTAACCAGAAATAAAATAAAAAAGTACCTTAGCTGTCATATCATATGAAGCAGTAGCAAGAAAATAACCCTCCTGTGGCTCAAATTTTACTTGTGAAATAAGGTTTGCGTGAGCTGGTATTATATACAAGGATTTCTTCTTTCTCAAATCCCAGATTCGACAAGTATTATCTTCACCACCAGTAGCCAAGTGATAGCCATTCGGAGAAAAGCTGATACCATAAACCTAGAAAAAAGGTCATAAAGCTCTGTTGAAAAAAAAAAAAAAGCAAAGAGATGATGCAGCAAAGATGAGCACAAAAGAAAATAATGCAGCCACACCCTAAACCTAGAAAAAAAGACCATATCAGTTAAAATCTTACTGGCTTAACATGACCTTCCAAGGCAAGAATGCTTCTTCCAGTACGAAGATCCCACACACGAGCAAGTGCATCTAAGCCACATGATGCAGCCAAAGAACCATCATGGTGGAAACATACTGCATAAACACTCCTACTATGACCTTCTTGAAGAAGCAATTCCACACCGGTATCAATATCCCACAATCTCCAAGTCTTGTCAAAGCTAGTTGTTCCCAAGTACTTCCCAGATGGATGAAATGCAACACGAGCAAGACGAGCCAGATGGCCCTCAAACGTCTTCAGAAGAGACCCATCTGTGCTCCATAACTTTGCAGTTCCATCTGCAGAGGCAGTTGCGATGTTGTTGTGCACAGGAGAAAATGCAACATCAGTTGCACGCTCTGTGTGACCCTTCAAGGTGCTGACCTTGTTTACTTGGGGCATGCTCCATAATTTAGCAGCTCCACTCCAAGCACTTCACAAACCAACATTGGAAAGTAAAATCATGGTGTGATCTAACAGGTTACTTGAAAAGCCAACTAAAAAGCATCCTTACATAGGTAAATCATGATAACATGAGAAAATATTGATGCAATACTTGTGTGATCCTTTCAGGTGTTACATAGCATACAAGAAAGCAATGCATTAGTAGTCAATAGATTTACTCAAGCTGCATTTAATTGACTAGGTAATGATAATAGTAAACAAGGGAACAACCATGTATGTCACATACATTATGACTGCGAGCAAAGGGCATAAAGCAAAAACAAATACTACATAAACTCACACAAAACATAGCAAAAAATGTAAAACATATTAAATGCAGTCAAGCAAGGCAGAGGAAAGCAAGCTCAAAATCCCCCAAGCAACCAGAGAAGAAAAATATAGGCAGAGAAAGAAAGAAAGAAAGAAAGAAAGAAAGAGAGAAAGAAAAGTAAGATGATTGAAAGGACTTAACTTGGAAGCTAAGAGTTCTGCAGAAATAAATTTTAGAAAACAAATGACATTATTAAATCAATGCCTTCCCCCACGAACCATTAATTATTTAATGAAAAAAGGGTAAAGGACTTAAACATACCCTGAATTTTCATAAATTGACTAAAATGTACCTTGAGTTATTCAAATAGACTTAAATATACCTTATGAGTTGACCCCACTGGACTTAAATATACCCTTCATCAATAAAACATCACATGAATTCCTATTTTACCCTTCTGGGTAAGAAGAAGAAGAAGAAATACATCGGTGGTAGCTTCTCTCTCATGTAATTACAGTGTTAGCCCCAAAACCACCATTAACCTCTCTCTCTCTCTCTCTCTCTCTCTCTCTCTCTCTCTTAATGCTCATTCCTTATTGCTTCAATACATTTCAAAAAAACCCAGAATTCTAATACAGCTTTACCTTCCCAACATGCCAAGCTTCATCATTCCAACTTGCTCTGCAAAGCCTTCCTCTATCACCTATGGAGACACTGAAGTACAACATCATTGAATCTCATACCTTGTATCGCAATCCTAAAGTCGTATCTCCAACTTTGATGATCATCATGAAACTTTCCCATAAAAACGTAATGAAAAAAAAAAAAAAACTAAAGCAGAGACCTATAATTGGAGGGATTTATGCATGAACTTGGTGGAAATGAGCCACAGGGATAAATAGTTTCTTTCAATAATTCAGAAAGCAAAGGCAGATCAGCATACTCTTTTTAATATCTCAAATGATTAGACGGCGTGTTCCTACAAGGTGATACAACAACCCAATTTGCCATTGTTACTTTGAATCTGTTTAAACTAGATAATCCAGTTGATTATTTGGTTACTGGGTCTAGGATAAAAAGCTGAAAAGTTCTGCAAAGCTAACGCCATTTGGTTTGGAGAATTCAAGAAATATTTGAAGATCCCATCTTTATGAAGAGTTGAAACAAAACTTAGATGCCAAGTGCTCATATGTTTGTGCCAAGAGTAGCATTTTCCATGCTTTGGACGTGTTAGGTGGAAGAATGCCACCACTGTTAGTTGGTCAATTGTAGCAGACATTAGAGAGCCCATCCTTAATTTTCTAAGTGTCTATTGAATAGACACCAGAGACCTTATGTAATGGCATTAAATGGGTCCATGTTATCCGGCAAAGAAATATAAGTTTCCCAAATAAATTTATTAAAACAACCAATTTTCAAGGAAGTGAAATCATTTGGAGCATTCACCATGAGTTTGAAAACCATCACCAGTGTTGTACTTCATGAACAGGCCACACACACACACAGAGCAGTCCTATGTAACCACATGAGTTTGAAAAAGTCAGAGTACATTTTGAAAACTTGAAGCAAAATAAAGGGTAAAAGCGTCACAAAGTATATTTAAGTCATTTTGCAAAACTCAAGGTACACTTAAGTCAATTTATGAAAACTCAGGGTATCTTTAAGTCTTTTGCCCTAAAAAAACTAGCAACACATGAAAACCAGGTAAATCAGTGGCAAGAGGTGCATCCCCACCCCATACCACTCATCAAATGATATATTATTCAGGCATTAATGGAGTGTCTGAGTATTCATTCATTAAACATTCAATGCGAACAATTGGCAAATACCAATTTTGAGCTATGAAAAAAAAAAGTTTACGAGGAACTTTGTACAAGTCAACCAAGATAGAAAGGATTCTAAATCTCATATTGCAAAGATGAACCATAAAATGGACATCAACTATCCACTTAAAAGTTAAAATAGCATTAAGTCCAACTCCTATAACGACATAATGACTATAGGTGCATTAACATGTAATTCACAGTTTATGCTATGTTTTAATATAACCTACCTGTACTTTTTGGACACTGCATTTGGCAGAGAGACCACTTGTACTCATAATGTATGCTTCTCAGAAGTCACATGAACAGCACCAGTGAAAATTTAGAAAGTGGGACTTCTTTAACATACATTGTCATTTTCATTCGCTATTTTTAAATCCTTGACCTCTCAAAATAGGTAGTGAGAGTGCCCAACCTACCCCTAACTGAGATGTTAATACTATAGAAGATTGTAAATAGGATGAAATCCATAGAATGGGAGTTCAAATGGTTATACTTTGAAGTTGTAGTCCACCATGCCATAAGCCACCTACAATAAAGCAACATGTGTGCAAGTTCAGGGAAGAGTTTATTGGAGGAGATAAAACATGGATCTTGATAGAACATAATGGATGGGATAGGATTTTATTTTTTGATAAATTATTAAATTATTATTATCAAAAGATTTGAACCACTAGAAGCAACCCTTCAAGAGGTGCGAGTTGTGACCTCTCCAAATATGGTATTTAAATTACAAAAAAACTAAAGAAACAAATTACAACCAAGCACAATACAACAGGTTCCTATTTTCCCCTTTTTCACAGGGCAAGTCATCAGGCCCGTGCGGCACTCAAGTGGCACAAATAAGCCTAAGAAACAAAGAAACAATACATGAAAGGCAACAAAAAGGTACACAAACTACTAAAAGGCACTTTATATTGCATTGATAAGCTAAGTACAGGCACACAATTGATGTGTCAAGGGGGCCTATGCTTAACCTTTACACCTTAGTTCCCTTCTAACTACTCACCTCCCTATAAAGAGGATGTTAAGCTTTCTGAGGATCTAACATGAGGATACATCAAAATGTTGAAAAATCATACTAATAATTAAATTAATGCCTGGCACTCCCCCATATACAAAATGTATACAATGCTCCACCCAAGACACACAAGCTGACACTCGGATGGCATGCTAATTGCACAGTCGATGATGTCAATTGTAACAATCTCTCCCACTCAATTCAATCTATGTCCTTGGAGATCTACTTCAGTATGGTCCTTTGGTTTTGTTGGTAGTTGACAAGGAAGAAAGATTCTTCAACTGTTCCACAAACATTTGCTTTCCCAAGGCTTGCTCACATGCTTGGGTGGTACTTTCGAAGGTTCTCCACAAGATGGGTCCTTTTAGGGTTAAAGTTTGCATGACCTTGGTTGATTCATGGTGCCAACTAGGGTGGTTTTAGAAACAAAAGGTAAACTTGGATTGTGAAGGCTTTGGTTCTTGTTAATGGTCCCCAAGAGTGACTCTTCACAAGGATACTACAAGTGTTGGGTCAAGACCATGTAGGGATGTGATCCCTAACTAGTGTGGGTGGCTCTCCTTCTTCTCAATTGGCATGGTAATAGGTTCAATCAATGTTGTTGATGGCAGTCTTCTCTTGAACTCATTAGTTGATGGTGAGCAAGGCTTCCACTGCTAGTATGATGGTAATGGCAATGACTTCATAATTACATCTTGGTGCATGGCTTCCATGTGCTGAAATTGTCATGTCGGTATCCACTTTTTGTCAGCATCTTGAGTCGGCTTTGGACTTGTGGTTGTGACCATAGTGGAGGTCATAATTGGTACCATGCAAGGGGAGCACTCATCCAAAATGCATAGAGTCTATCTGAGGCATGTGGGATACTTTCACTTGTATCAAAAAATCCATCCCCAAGACAACTTCAAAATCATCTAGGGGTACAACAAATAGGTTAATCTTTCCTTCCCAAGGATCAACCCCACGGGCTATGCCTTCAATAGCCTTGGCACCAAAGTTAAGAGGCTTGAGCCACCTTTTCTCCTTAGTGATGGTTAAGTCGCCTTGCCTTGTAAACCAAAAGGAAGTTGTGTGAGGCCCCCCTACATCAACTAGGGTCCGAGTTGGCTTCTCGTTGAGGGTGATGTCTACATACTTGATACTTCAACCCCTTATGGGCTTTGTTGGGTCGTTTAGGAGTGGCCTCTTTCTTCATCATAGCATTGAAAGTTATACGGCATCCATCCTTGGCGCCTACATAGTACACTAGCTTCTCCTCAACACATCGTTCATCATCACTAAGTTTGGCAACAAGGGCATTTATTTTCTACTTCATAGGGCAATCACGAACACAATGTCTATCCCCACAAATGAAGCAAAAACGTGGAGGACTAGTGGGTTTCTACTTGTACTTGTGCTGAGGGCCCTGATATCCTTGTAGCTTTCCTCTTGCATAGTGTTCTGTTAGCTTGTTCAAGTGGAGTTCTCCTTAGGGGAGCGTCATTGTTTCTCTCCCCCACTCAAGTTCGAGGCACGTGAGCTAAGTGACTTGTGGTTTTCATCATCAGTTAGTTTGCCACTGCCACTGCCATGGCCATGGCAACGTCTTGTACACCTTGGTGTTAAAGTTCAAGTTTGACCCATACTTTGTTGTCCATCCATGATGTTGACAAGTTTGGCCAATCATTAGCTAATAAAATGTGGCCAAGGGGCTAGGTGATGGAGATCACTTTGAGACCGAAGCGCCACATAGAATTCATACTTATTTTAGGCATAGATGGCATTAGATTAGAGTTTGCCTTGATTAATGCAAAATTTGGGTTTAATTGTAAAATTTCTTCATAGTAGGGGTTATTTGTAATTTTCATATTTACTAGGGATTTAAGTGTAGTTTCATATTTGGTAGGGATTTAATTGTAATTTTTAGTTTCTAGGTTTCATATAAATTCACATTATGTTAGGGTTGTATACTTGTATTATGTTATATTTTGAGAAATAGAAAACTTCCAAGTTCTCTTCTTCGACTCGTCTTCTCTCTTCCTTCTCTTCTTCCTCTTGTCTTCCTCCTTTCTTGTAACAAGTGGCGGTGCTACATGCCCCAGCTCCACCAATGAACCAAAGCAGCTGCAGCGCAGTTTTCAATCGTTGTCTTCTCTTCTTCTTCTTAATAGGGGGTTATTTGTAATTTTCATATTTACTAGGGATTTAAGTGTAATTTTCGTATTCGGTAGGGATCTAATTGTAATTTTTAATCTCTAGGCTTCTTATAAATTCATATTATGTTAGGGCTGTATTATGTTATGTTTTGAGAAATAGAAAATTTTCAAGTTCTCTTCTCCAACTTGTCTTCTCTCTTCCTTCTCTTCTTCCCCTTGTCCTCCTCCTTTCTTGTAACAGGTGGTGGTGCTGCATCAGTTTGGTATTTTCCCAGCTCCACCAATGAACCAAAGAAGCTGCAGCTCAATTTTCAATCATTGTCTCTTTCCACCGACTGAGCAAAGGTCAGTTGTATCTCTCCTTTTCTGTCTTCTTTCTCTCCTCTTTCTTCTTCTTTCTCTCTTCTCTCCAATCTGTCTGAACCTTACAACAGTCACCACCTCACTCTCAGTTTCTTTTCTTCTTTTCTCCTTTTTTCTATCTTTTTTTCCCTTCTTCTCCAATTCTATTTTCAGAGACAGAAACTTAACAATAGCCGTGTCACTCCAATCACTTTTCCTCTCTTGCTGTTTTCCATCCGTCTCCCATCTCTTCCTTATTTCTTCTCTTTCTTTTTTCCTCCCTTTTCTTTTTTTCTTCTTTTTCTTCTTCCTTTCCTCTGTGGCTCTTTCTCTCTTTTCCCTTTCCTGCTGTTACAGATATTCAGCACCGATCCTGTCCCCTTGGTTGTTTTCTTTCTTTCTTTTCCCCTCTCTCCTTCCTTCTTCTTCCATTTGTTTTCTTTATTTTCTCTGCTGCTGCAACCAAGCTAAAAATGCCTCTGCCAGCAGTGTCTCTCTCCCGTCTTTCTATTCAACGAACCAGAAGCTAATTCAAAGTAAAGAACCTAGTGTAGCGGCAGATGAAACAACCAATTCTTGGCTAGAAACAAAGCTGCAAACAACGTTGGAAAGTTGCTGTCTTCATTCTCTACAACTGAGTCAAGTTAAACCAGAATACAAATATCGAAGGCTCTCATCTTCAGCACACTATTAGCTAACAGAGTGTGTTCCTTCACGAGAACCACAAAAGAGTTTGCTATAGCTGAATCCAGAAGTTAGAGGTCACCAGCCCAAAGGATAGAGAATTCAGTTCTGGTCAGAATTCCAGAAAACACATCACAATTGAATAGAAAGGTAATTAGGGACTTCAAAAAGGTATATCTCCTTTATATGGATTTTGGATTAATTCCTTTGTTTGTTGGGTAAGTTGATCATCGCTATCAGGTCCTTAGCAATTTTGTGAAAACCGAAAAATACATACTTAACCACCTTACCATCAATAACCTGCATTATTGTGTGTCCTGTCAGTTAGGAATGCACAAGCATACAAATCATCAAATTATTGGTCTATATTGACAATTTTTTAGTTCCACTAAAATTCTCATCCCCCTAAAGGCATTCCCAAGAAAGGGAAATTTTATGTTCTTTCCAAAATTTCCCATCAAGTCTTCCATTTATGGAGGATTATAAATTTAGATCATCTCAAAACATTACAAAAATAATGGTGCCATCAGCAAATTATAAATGCCACATATTGAAGTCATATCCTCCCACTTTAACCAGATCGAGTGATTCGGTTTTCAATAAAAGTTTAGCAGAAAAACATCCTTACAATGGCGAAAAGAATCAAACATAGAGATCACATTGGCATACCATTGAGAAAGATGGAGAAATGCAACAATAAGAAAGAACCATATATCCGCTTCATGTTTCCATGAAGCTCTATCTTTCCAAGGTATACACCAAAACACATTTAGTCCAGATGTTGTAGGCACTATAGAAGTAAAACTTGCACAAACACCTCCATTCTCAAATTTCATCATTTCATTCACATGTTCATTCACAATTAATATCAGGGGTACCATAAAAAAAATAATATCACAGGGATCTTTATCAATATAACATTGTACACATTCCCACCACGATCTAATACTCATCAATCCACCAGAACTTTGATAATTGTAGTTATACAACCATGATATTCCTTTTTTTCCTTCTCTTTTTTCTTTTTTCTCTTTTCTTCATTTTTGTATTGATACACAAGCAAAATACATTCAAGGCATGCTCAATGTGTAGGAAAAAATGAAAATGCTATAGGTTGCATTATTTCTTCAATTTTCTCAAGCATTAGAGGCATCTATAACAATACTCAGCTCAGACCACCAAAGAATTTCCATAAGGATGTATACCCTACTAATATTTTTAACATAATAGTTCCTAGAGGCAAGCAAGAAATTTTCATGTGGCAAAGATTCAAACACTTAATTCATAAAATGCAAAGCAAACCCTTTCTTTATTTGCGAATTTATTATGAGAATTTTATCCCATAATACGTTTAAAAAGCAAGGTCAAACAGAAAGAAGAAAAAGAACCAAAAATACCTGGTGGCAAGAAGCTTCCCATCTTGTGAAAATGAACAACCTGAGAGTGGCCGATCATCCCCAACCTCACTACAGTCGAGCACAAAACCACTAGCCTGCTTTAAAGCTGAATCCATCTCTGCATCTAGATCTTCATCAGGATCATCCCTTCTCCTCCTTGCACGTTCAAGCCGCATAGCTGCCTTCACAATAGAATACTTAGCAATATCAACCCGAGCCTCCAAAAGTTCTTTTGACCCTTCAGTGTAAAATGGATACGTCTGTGGTCCTTCCCCATCCCCCTCAACTACAGTTGCAGCAGCTGCAGCCTCCTCATCCTCATGAGCTTTCAAGAGTTTCTCCAACTGCCCTTCAGCATCCAGTTTCACCATAATCATCCGTAACCTGTCCCTCCTTTCCATCTCCCTTTCTCCAAAAAGTGTGATAGGCTCACCAAGCCGGCGTAGACGGGCACGAACAGCTGAGTCATTGGTGGGCACAGCAAGAGCATAAGCACGTCGCTTCATCATGAGCTCCTGCATTGCTTTCTCCTGCCTTTCCCGTACTTGTTTGCTCTCTTCTGATATCTCATAATCCACGGAAGAAGCAGCAGCCTCATGATCAGAATCAGAATCAGTGTCATTTGCTTCACCATTTTGCAGTCCTGGCGAGCGGATAACAGGAGGACGAGGAGGAAGTGGTGCCAATGGACGGAGGAGTGGAGTAGGAATTGCTGGTATTGGAGCAATGGGTGGCACAACCGGAGGTGGGATAGGTGGTTGTATGCGAGGTGGGGGAATGGTAGTTGGCGTTGGATCGACAACAACAGGAGGGGCAACAGGCCCAGTAGATTCAAGAGGAGGAACAGTCATGGCCGGAGCCGATGTCTGACTATCAACCACCATTGCAGAAGATTCTGGAGTAGTTTCTTCTTCTTCCATAATACCCCTAATCAAGGAAAGTCAGACAAGAAATTGAGTTCAGAAAAAAGAATGCTAGTGATGTCACATTTTCTCTTCTTTCTCTGTTTATCTAAGGTGGCCTTTGATAACTCTGAAATCTAATGTTCAAAAGGTCAAAAAGCTATTATTTAGGTCTGAAGTCTAAAAAGAGGCAAAAATGTTTTTATGTTTTTAGAGGCTCCAAAAGTAAGATTGTTTGAGTTGGGGCAATTCTTTTTTTTTTTTTTGATCAATAGAGTTGGGGCAATTCTCAATCGTCCAATCTCCAATGTTGAGAGAACTGAAAGAAGGGAGAGGTTCACAGGTCAGAGGTTCAACTGGGGTCGAACCATGATGACATAATAAATAAAATAGATATGATAAGAAAAATTCAAAAAATTACTGAAATAAAAGAAAACTGATCCAAAATACAAACAACACTTCAAATCTTCAATTTTTGGTTAAACAAAATTAACTAATTATATTTTCTTTCAATATCTGACTAAAATTACGAAAAAATTTTAGCAATCACATAGGCATTCAAATAATTACAAATCTATAATGGCATTCTACAAACGATTTTAAACTTTATTCAATAATTTTAGAATTAGAACATGTATACAATCAATTTTTAAAGTTGCATTTGCATGCAAACAATTTTAAATTTTAAAAGCTGCATACGAATAATTTTTAAATGGCATTCTACAAACAATTTTACATTTATCTTATCCAATTCTAAATCTGAAAATGAATACAAAGAATTTTAAACTTTTAATTCCACAATTTGCTGTTAAACAATTTCACATTTCTCAGAATCAGAGATTAAAAAGAAAACAAAAAACGGAGAATAATGGGTGAAAAGATGGTGTTGCCGCTACTAACCTTTAGTGAGATGCCCAATGTAGCCTTCGCGAAGGGAAGAGTGGCCTCTTTACACTGCAACGAGTGAGACACAGAAGCCCCAAGGTAGCCGCTGACCTTCACTTGAAGTGGACATTGCAAGCTTGGGTGGTTAAACAGGAGATTTGGCGGTGGAGACACAATGACGGAATGGAAAAAGAAGAAGAGGAGGAGGAGGAGGAGGAGG